CACATAACCGACTGTTAATGGGGATCCAATCGACTAGTGCTGCCTCAGCTCTAGCGCTTAGTGCGACACCAACGCCAGCAAGACCAGACGAAGATGCCACAGGGTCCCCGGATAAGCGCACGTAAAACAAGCTTTTCGAAGCGACAGATGGAGATCGAATTTGTAGTACTTCGCCAGAGTCTTGAATACGGGTCTCGGATAGACAACAAACGTCGATATTAAGACTTTCCAAAGACATAGCCAGCCCTATCTGTTGTCCGACCTGCATAAATGTGCGAACGTTGAAGGCAGCCAGTTTGAATGGTGCACGTGGTTTCAGAAAAACTGCTCTAGTATTCGTATTCGGTGGTAACATACAATTTTCAACCGGACAGTGACTCGAGAACGTTTAGATAGAGTCAAATTTCCACCATAGACAAGCTGCTGTATAAGTCGAAAAAAATAAGTATAGACAGAGTAGGAATAAAAGAGGGTGAATAATGACGTAGTAAATAATAATAATAATTTGAATCATTGGATTGTTAGTTGAAGCAAGAAAAGTAGTTTCCATAATTATAGACAGTTCATCATTTGTGTGTGGGCTGTGATACTGCCCGGATGCCCAGACCGAGGCAGGTGGTTGGTTTCTTAGGGGGCCACACCCCGAGCCTTTGACCTAATGGTCTAACCCACAAGGCAGTGGAGCATCGTGAGGAGATGCAGTCTCATGGTAGCCGGTGACCGAAAATTGGTTCATACGCCATTTGTTCCCGCAGGATACTGGAGCCCATGTGCACCATTGATTTGGAATCCGGTTGAAGTGCCGGACATTCGCTTTTCGTCCTCTCATCTTCGTAAACAACAGTAATGCCACGAGAAGGCAGTGAGTAGGACTTCCTTGGCAGAGGCTGTATACGCGTGGCCCTGTGAGAGTATTTCGAGAGGAGGGCGAACCCACCCCGCTCTCGGCCATACCAGGGCATTTGGGGGTTTTGAAAACAGATTACTCGTCATTATTGTTAATTTACAAAAGTAAGATTTCGTCCTATTGATTTCTGATGATATGATTACTGAATTTATATACCATTTTCAGACCTCCACTGTTGGACCATTGTTTGCAAGCGCTTTAATTGCTTGTTTCTTGGTGATTCTTGGTTTGGTGAGTTGCGGCATTTTTCGTTGACTTGTTAGTTTTATGCTTAAAATAGCTCTCACTACAATTTTGCGTTGTCATCAAAGACTGTATAGTACATATTACTAAGTTCTATTACTTTTCATGTATCCCTTCCATTAATCACCGGTCAGTGTCGTTGATTTCGATGGTAATATTTAATGTTGAAAAATTAGTTTCTTGACACTTACTAGATATCGAGCTTAGGGTTAAATTAGCTTTCTGGACCTGCTCGTGATCAGCAATGGTTGTTGTGTTCACCAGCAATAACCGGTATATGCTTCTTTTCAAAACTGTATTCATGTTGCATTTCTTGGTAGTGTTTTGATTTTGGTGGTTGTGGTTTTTGGATATAGTACTGTTATATCCTAGTGAAGATTAAATTACAGGTAACTCCCGAGGACTATTAATGGACTAATATTCTATAAATATTCTTATTGTATAACTATTCAACAATTACATTATGTATATTTATATTCCTCTTATTATAAGCTTTATTTTGACCTATAATTTATTGTTGTACGATTTACGGTTCTTAAGCTATGCTCAGTCTATTAATTACTGTCCCCCTCGCTCACAGCCACTTTTTGGCTTATTTGTGTACACATGTTATTTTCTATTTTATGGTACATTGTGGTCTGTCTGATTGATATATAAACCGAGTATGTCTGAAATAAACGATTCGATCTGATTCGATTCATATTACGGAAGCTGGTATTGTGTTCTGGACTCAAGTGGAAGGGCTCGGAGGACATAGGACCAATAAGGACGCTAAACTGCCCACACCGGTTGAACGTCATTGGTTGGCCTAGTGTAAGATTCGTATAAGTCATATTCGGATTGGTAGATAAATCGTGTGATAGAAAAACCAGACATCCAAGGTCATAACAAGTATTCTTTTCATGTACGGGTCTACAAGAACCAGTTCTACAAGACATTGGACCCATAGTGTCATTTTGGTTCATTAAATGTATCTGGACGAACTGAAACATCACTTGGCTAACGGAATTGAATGTTTATTCCATATCTCAGTTAAGTATGGTTTTGAGTTTCTGTAGTTCCCTAAACTCCAGTCCTAGTCCTCATATGTATGTGGGTGATAAGTTAGTATCTTAATTTAGTGGTCGTCCGCTATACATATAGCAGATGAAGAATTTACTGTTTTCTTAGATCGCAAACGTCTCGTCAGCCAATCGATTCTTCAAGCCTAGAGCTGAACAGTTTATCTAAATAGAATGATACAAGGAATACAACCATTGTCGCCTTCTTTATGAGCTACAGCTCTCTTTTATTTTGTCGGGTGGCATGCACTTCATAAATTTGTAAGTTTTTGACGTCTACGTTATTCGGAACACTCCAAGGTAAACGTAATGCCAACCAACTGACTCTCTCTACTTAAATGAAAAGCATTATCAGTTTTTCAGGAAAGTTGTTTAGATTAGCTTCAGGCGCTTGTAATAATGTTTAAACCCTTCTCTCCACATACCGAAGTCTATACGGTCAAGCATTATTCTTGGCCTTCATATGGTAAATGTTATTCATTATGTACACAATCCCTGACTACTGATGAGAACACTTAAATCCAGTCAAGTTCATTAGTTTTTCGTAGTCTTTGTAGGCAGTTTATCAAAGTTTGTTTTCTTTTTCTACAGAACACTTTCATTGCCTGCCTATCTACGGCTTCTGTGAGACTGCAGTATTTCTATGAAATTGATCGTTATCGAAAATTGGTCAACTCGTCACCTCAAACAGATCCTACTTGCTTAGAAGAATATTCTCTCCAACCTTTGCTACAACAACCTCTGTCTATGCAGTCTGCTGGTTCGTGTATCAAAGCAAATACTTTACACTTCCCTCACGATAATTTGAATACTGTATCGCCTTTCATGAATTCCACACCAACAGGCATAGGTCTCATTTCTAGTCCTAACATCTTCAATGAGACACAGATGTCTCAGCAATTTTACTCTCATAGACCCATAAGACACTCTACTTACTCACATCAATCAACTATTCTAAGTAACAATTATTAATTGAGAAATTGCATTTGTAAACCACCTCGCTTCACGCTTTTATTTCGAAGCATTAATATAATCAAAAGTTTTTCGTTTAATGCCAACTTATCAAGTATTCACAACTATCCGGTCTATTTAATGCTTTGTTTATTCATATAATATATTCTCAGAATTCCACTTTTATAATCCTCAGGTTTGAGTTGCATTCCATATATATTTGTCCGTTTTATCTTATTTGTTTTATAAGCTTTGTATATACTTATTTATATTAGATAGCTCAATGTTCTTTTGTTATTTTTGCTTGAAAAACACTTTTTCAAAAACTCATTTCCCTTTGGGACGAATCATGAAACCTATGTAACATTTTTAATCTCATTAAAACAACCAGCAATATATTCTCATCTTGAGGTACATCTTTTTCTCCCGTGCACCTTTTTTATTAGTCACCAGAAAAACCACCACCATGAACTGTTATTTCATCAATATCAAATATGTTGGTTTACAATAAACATTCATTTATCGTCAATTGTTGAAATTTTGTTACCTAAAGTGGTTACTTCAATGTTATTAATCAATAGCTTAACCTAATAGAGTTAGTACCATCTTATGGATCAACTATAAAACAGGACAATAAACAGGAGAAATGTATATTTATTGCGAAAGTTACGAAGCAATTACATGGTGTGTATAGATAGCATTCAATTGTCCATTTGCACCTTCCAGTGTGTTCTGCAATCTGAACTGTCTTCTCGACTAACCTTCAAAACGTCATACTTTCGATGCACCGAAACTTCACTGCCTGACAGTTGCGAATTCGACGCTACGTTCCGATACACCTTATTCGCAAACATCCTTGAGAGTAGCATCCACTACACAACTAAAATTACGTATACCTATTAAAAGAGTAATTTAACACCGTATTGGTTGTTTGGGATATCGTGAGAACGGCTTAGTTTTGTCGCGCACCTGAACCACAGCTACGAATGACGCTGTCAAACTAAGTTAGTATTAAGAAGATTAGTTGGGTAGTGTAACGACCAGGAGCAAATGCCGTTGTAAGGTAAATAATATGCTTTTGGTAAGGTGCAAGAGCAAAGCTTTACATAAACCGAACTAGCATGTAGTGATGTATTTTCTCTGGGCAAACAGTATTCCCACGTTTTCTATGTGGGAGAAATCAGTGGATATTTTCTTCCATGAATACATTTTATTTTATCTTCTGTGCATCGTACTATAGCTCTACAACGAACGATCGCTAACTTTCCTTGGACATTGTAGTCAATCATCACTGCTTTGTTTTATTTTAGGTGTTTCCGTGACTTACACAGAATGGGTCACTTTTCAAAATAATTTCGACCATACGGTCTCCCTCCCGCCTATCACCAGTCATCCTCGTTTCTTCAGTACCTCTTGGTATTTACGCCACACACTAGGTTATCCGCGATGCTTTGCTTTATAATCGTTATCATCAAGTTCAGCGTAGGAAGTTGAATTCCCAGTTGTACACGTGCATTGTTTTGGGGAAATGCTGTGCATGGATGAGTATTAACCTTCATGTAATTCATACTATAACACCAAATTGAAGGTGGCGTGGTATTTCGTGGTCACCAAGATTCTGCGCTCTATCATGAATAGGCTTAAGGGTGTGCATTGGTGGGCAGCTCAGGGTTTAGAAATCAACTGTCAGGTGGTTTTCAGTTTCCAACAAGTTCCGGTGTTAGATAAAGTTTTTAAAAATACCAACTAATTATTTGGCATAGGATAGTTGTGCCAAGTATAAAACATTATGATCGAAATCGAAAGTTGCTATTCAAGCAGGCTTTTAGAAATGTAAGCTGAACTGTCATCCATGTGGAGCTTATATTTATTGAGTAAAAGATTATATCAAATCAATAGACAGTAATGATGACACTTGACTGTACATCGAGAATAGTTACAATAATCCGCATAATATAAGACTATTGCGAAAATGCACCCGCTACGTTAGCATGGGGGAGTAGGGCATCCTAAAGAGAAGCTATAAATTCACAGTCGTGTGCGAATATTTCGGGAAAGAAAATAAACTCTCCCACTCTCTGTCATCTCAAGTCGATCAAGAGCGATTACTTTTTCTGGTGACTGCGGTAAAGAGCATATCATCCTAAATTTCTCCAACCTGAAATAAAAACAATATCAGTTTATTAATACTGGCACATAATTCCAAGTGAAACCCAGTATATTTCTAACAGTGTTTCATAAACAAACATAAGTCCATTTTTAATGAATGTTTTAATAGAAAAAATGTATCTTTTTCGCATGATAAATATTACAGGTCATCATAAGTTTATCCATCAGTAAATCTGACAGCTATGTATCCAATAATTTAAATAACAGAAAGCGAATCAAAACACAACTAGGAGTGCAAATACACAATACACTAAGGCGCATGGATACGCCACAAGAATGCGTTGGTGTTGCATATCCAAACTACGAACAAACAATTTACTGGAAGCAATTGTGCACCACGAAACGACAGTCGCTGTCAACACGACACCTAGTATACTTCTGGGATAAGAATTAAATGAGAGTTGTACATCATTTTATGTATGATAAAATATAGAAAAAAATTATGTACAGGTAAATTCGAAAAAGGGAGGTTACCGTTATTAAAATCTAAATTGTATATCTAATATTTTTGAACTCAGAAACAACAAGAATGGATGTGGTAACTAAAAGCAATTGATTGACGGGATTGTGACAAATTTACAAATACCTATTAACTCCAATGTCAATTCACATGAAGGTGAATAAGAGCCCATGTAACGAGTAGGTGCATAATAATCAGAAGAAACTACGGTGAATAACCTTACCACCGACGTATATAATTTGAACTGTAAGGGGGTGGACTGGAGGTAGTCGACAGGAAACCCAAAACCTGTTTCGTGTTATTTGACATTTACCAACAAGGTGTAATCTTTTTGGAACAGATGCTCCCTGGCAGACTTGATTCCGTGTCACCCAGCTTTACAGTTGGTGTTATCACTAAGCTATCCGGGGCGCAACTGATCTCCTGTAGGACTCAGATGTATTTACAACTGATTGATCACTGAGTAGTAACCAATGGCAAAGTCCTTAGTATTAACTGAACTCTGTCGATCCAGTTGCAGTGTGATCACTTGTCTAAGTGACTTGACATTGTTTACATTATGCTGAGGTGCCAAATGGTATGAAATCTAGATATAGGGTTTCCTGTCGACTACTCCCAATCACCACCTTACTTCCCAATATGCTGCGCGCAATGTCGAGCCACTTAGACTAGTGACCACACTGTATGATTAAATCAGCACTAAAAAGGACTAGACATACATGACATTCATTGATCAACCAATTGTAAATCAGACATTTTAGGTATTACATAAATATATATGAGAAGACGAATATGATGTGTTTTTGTTGTGGAGAGGGAATGTATGTAAATCCTCCATATGATGATGTCCCCAACAACATATTTATTTATTTATTTGAACACATAAATATTGGTACAAGAGGGCACCAAATATGTATGCGCCACACAAAACAATGAGAATTTAAAGACAAGGAAAAAAAGGTAAGCGGCGTGAAAGAAAAGAGGAACAATAACGAACAGATTGGTGTAAGGTAGTGTAATAATAATAATAATAATAGTAATAATGGGGGAACGGAAAGGTACAATCAGAACAAATCTTTCAGTTAAGCAAGATACAACCACTTTTTATGAAGAAAGTAAAAGAAGGTTACTGCAGGATCGCCACTGGCTTCTATTCTGAGCCATATCTGATAACGTCTCTAGCCACTGTGTTGCACCATCTCTCGGACCCCAGCCAGGGAGTTGTGAAGGACCAACAGAAGCCAACCCTTTGCAACTTTCTTTCATACCCCGACACCGTGCCATACACTGACCACCTCTCCGCTTTTTCCAACCAGTCCCAGAGTCGGCAAATAATGCACGACGTGGGATTCTCTGGGACGACATTCATAGGACATGTCCAAGCCACCGGATCCGATGTTTCAGGATGGTGACACCAATCGGATTATCGTCTCTGTCCCCGAACACACGATGCCGAACCTCTGGATTACTAACATGGTGTTGCCACCGGATGTCAGCAATTTTTCGGAGACAATAATGATCAAACACAGAGAGTCATCTAACATCCTCAACTCGGAGAGGCCAGGTTTCACAAGCGTAGAGCAGAACTGCTCTCACCGACGCGTTGTAATTCCGACCTTTTACAGCCAGACTGACATCACGAAGGCGCCAAAGATGGCCCAGATTGGCATAAGTCGCTCTGGCTTTCACTATACGTGCATTGATCTCATCACTCACGCCACCACCAGCACTTATGCAGCTACCTAGATACACGAACTTCTCGACTACTTCTATCTGCTCACCATCCAGGATGAGTACAGGATTAGAATCCTGCCAGTCTTGTAGAAGTACTTTGCACTTCGAAGGTGCGAAGCACATACCATACCTACGGACACTGATTGCCAACTGATTAAGCGCGAATTGCATGTCTTGGGCATTATCACACGGTAAGACAATATCATCCGCACACTCAAGGTCAAGAAGTCTTTCTCCAGGCAACAGATCCACACCGCCTTTACTTACATCCATCAGAGCTGTTTCCAGAATGTCGTCGATGGCAAAGTTGGAGAGGAATGGTGAGATTGAGCAACCTTGTCTAACCCCACTGCTTGAATGGAACAATGGAGAAAGGTGGTTGTATGCCCTCACTCTACCCAAATACCATAATATGGCCGAGAGTGGGGTGAGCCCGCCCTCCCTCTCGAAATACTCTCACACGGCCACGCGTATACAGCCTCTGCCAAGGAAGTCCTACTCACTGTCTTCTCGTGGCATTACTGTTGTTTACGAAAACGAGAGGACGAAAAGCGAATGTCCGGCACTTCAACCGGATCCCGAACCATGGTGCGCATGGGCTCCAATATCTTGCGGGAACAAATGGTGTATGGGCCAATCGTCTGTCACCGGCTACCATGAGACTGCATCTCCTCATGATGTTCCACTGCCCTGTGGGTCAGACCTTTAGGTAAAAGGCTTGGGGTCGGGCCCCCTAAGAAAACCACCTGCTTCGGTTTGGGCACCCAGGCAGTATCACGGCCCTCACACAAATAAAATGAAAATGATGATATTTACTGAAAATTCTATTCACGCTTCGATTAACAGTCAAACAATTTACGTCATTTACTCACTCTCTTTTATTCCCACTTTATGTATGCTTATTTTTCAACTTATACAGTGGCTCGCCTATGGTGGGAACTCCGTTCTATCTAAACGTTCTCGAGTCACTGCCTGGTTGAAAATTGTATCACATCCATTGCTTTCTCGTGGCGAGGGTGATGTTTACGAAATTGAGAGGACGAAAAGCGAATGTCCGGCGCTTTAACCGGGTTGGTGGACATGGAGAGTACACCTAGGGGAGTTGGAAAACCCTGATTCCAAACCAATGGTGCACATGAGCTCCAGTATCCTGAAGGAACAAATGGTGTATGAAGCAATCGTTGGTCACCGGCTACCATGGGACTACATCTCCTCACGATGCTCTATTGCCCTGTGGATCAGACCTTCAAGTAGAAGGCTTGGGGTTGGGCCCCCTAAGACAATCACCTGCTTCGGTTTTGGCACCCGGGTAGTATCACAGCTCTCACAGAAATCAAATGAGATTTGTGTGGCGCACATGTACTTGGTGCCTCCTTGTACCAATATCTATGTGTTCAAATAAAATAAAAATGAAAATTGTATGCTACCACCAACAACATAAAGTGTAAAGGTATTGGCAAGCCTGCTATTATGAGTGGTAGGCAGAGAACCGTGATTGATAAACGCGGGTAGAAGTGGTTAGGCAGTACATTATATATCACATTAGCCCTTCTGCTCACTGTCTTTGACTACGGAAAACATGGTCAGTAGAATCCGGCAGAATTATTCCATGCAAACGATAAATTCGTTCAAAGGTGAATTCGACAAAGAAAAACTAGGCAGCGCATGCCGATTACTAGGTGTTCTTTTTTTCTTGATACTGTACTTGTAGTGTTAGTCATTAGTTTTAGCCCATAATATATCTTATTCTAGTTTTCGGACATTCCATTCTATTCATTCTAATTGAGTCATATTTTGACCTTGTCAATTATTCGCTTATTAGTCTTGATTGTTTTTATATGAGCTTATATGTGTGTGCCCTTCTTATTCCACTAATCACATGTCTGTATCTTTATTTTGTCTGACTATAAATATTGAGTAACGCTTGACTAAAATGGAGTTGGCTTCCCAGCCATCTTCCATACATGTCGTTTTGCTTTGCTGTGCTTCATTCACTTCATGTACGAAATATATGTATTCTCAAATCAATTCTCGTTAATTGACTTATCTAAATTCCGTTATTGACTAACGTGATTTAAGTCGACGATGATATACGAGAATAGGTGATAACAAACATACGTACGATCAAAATGGAGTCAGATCAAACGGGCCACTAAATACTCTTTAGGTTCAGTGAGAGAAAAAACGGGAAGCAAAATCTGCAGAAATGAACAATTAAGGTTCCTCATGGCGCAACGCCTGTGAAATTACTGTAAATTAGCAAGAAAGTTTTGTTAAACGTAGATGCTAATAAGGCATAATCTACTGCATGTTATTATAAGACTACGTTTTCGAGTTATGATCACTTATTAATGTACAATGTATCTATGTTAAAAGAATAAACTTACTTAAGAGAAAATACAATCCCAAATGAAGATAAAAGACACATAGGAAGTAGGCAATATCCTAATGTTGAAATGACACAAGTTGGTGTAACTCCCCTAGGCGTCATAACTGATAACAGGAGGTAAATACCCAAGCAACCAAATACACCTAATCCATAGATATAATTGAAGTGAATTTTTCCAGCCTACGTAGTAAAATGATAAAAAAAAGAAATAAGTATACGATTACCAAAACAACTGCAATAAGGTAATCATAAAACACCAACGGTTTACATTTGTATATTAAAACTCACAAACATTAAGGTACAACCAAATAGCAAGCAGAAAACCAAAGGTCCGGCCAAATCTGTATCGTCAAGCACTTCTTGAGAACTTTCTTTAAAAGGAAGGAGGACAGATGATGTCTGAAAAACAAAAATGTGTTGTGGGACATTGTACTACATGATATATAATCTTCAACGCATCTAAATATCAGTTTTTTTGCCAACTATATAGATATTTTTGATATATTGTCATTCGGTTTGTGCGATAGTGGAATTGAAGAAAAAGTAACTTTTCATGCAGTTCATTTTGGACATTTCGTCTCATATTTCACAAAGAAATTAAATGACAAAAATAATATTTTTCTCTTGTACTCTTTTTTATTGATACTTTCACTAACTGAAAATGGTTCATTTGCATGATGACAAAATAGCGAACGACTCGATAGATTCATGTTACCAATGGTGAGTGTAGTTTTTAATCATAATAAAATTACGTCAGCAACTACTATGTATTAAGTGTTAATAAATAAAACTACACTAAACTGAAATCAACAAACCCACAATTGACGATAAATAATTAACTATTTCTTACATAAATATTGAAAAAAACTACTTACCTTTTGTACAATGTGACTAAAGTTGATACCAAGTTCTGCAACACAAGAAAATATGTAATTTTAAGTAATTATCATACGGTAATACAATTTAGTATTTTATTATAGGAACGATTGATCTATGATATAATCAGACATAATTGTATGTGTTAGTTGTGTTTGATTGACATAATAAAAATCCATTTCAAAACGTTAATGTTTATAATATTTAAATACATACAAATACTTTATTGGAATTAATGAAGAAAATCAAATATGTGAAAAATCATTTCACAAGCAATTCTTGGATTCTCACTTAATAACAAGACAAAGCTGTGATTCAGTGATTTAACTAATTAGCAACTCCAAACATGACATCTATAATAATGAGGAAATTTGTTCTTTAAAGTAACTTGTAAATTAAGCAAAACAAGAAGACATCAGGCTGAATGCTTATTTTGGTAGAGACAAAATCTTACATACACAGTCTAATGTTGTAGTGTTATGTCGAGAAATCCGAATATATGGTTGTATACTTTATTTATTAAGTAAACATTTGAGCAAACATATATCAGTAAACACAAAATGGAACTAGTTCATAATAAAATATATAAACTATGATGAATCAGTATGTAAAAGAACCTAGTAATCATAAGAAATGTTGTTTCTAAAACAAATTGACCTGTTTCAAAATTTATCTGCGAATTAGGTTGTCAGCAGTAGTGAAGTATAAGATTGTATTATCAAGTTAAATTACTAGCTGAATTGAGTCTTACATAACAGCAAAAAATGACTAGATGACTAAAAAGTTAGACATGTTGGTGTGGTTATGAAAAGATTTGACTAATTATTAAATACATTTAATTACTCAAAACTATGAACCATTTGAATTCGGCTAAGAGGTCTGATGATATGATGAGTGCAACAAGACCTGATGATGTAACGTAGATGTCTTTTCAAAAGGCATTAGTTAATCTTATCTATTTAAACTCTATTCGGTTTATTTTCCGCCAACTGTTTGTCCCTAAATACACAAGTCTTTAGTTAATTCTAGCCTACTACTAAGTAAAGTTGTGATAAATTAACGTTCCATGTGGTCTACAGTAAACATTGCTGAGTAAATTATGAGCACGGATCAATTTTAATTTTACTATTTATCTTTTGTTAAAACATTCTCCACTTTCTTTTATGAGAATCCATTGAAGGTAACAGATACAAAGTTACACGATATCGTCTGCGTTACATAAAGTGTAATACTTTGAAAATTAGGTATAACTGTTTTTAAATTAACTGCACTTAACAATACTTCTTTATTTTCCAATGATTAAGTGAAAAACTAGTTTACAGACACGTTATTTTGCTGAATAACTATGCATTCTTGTTAATGTTTGTGGTAAATTCGGTAATGAACAGTTTCATTAATATAAATAAAAATAATATATTTGTAATATCCCAATGAGTAGAAAATTAGATTTTCTGACGTTTCGTGACTTAGTGTGAGTCACTTCTTCAGAGAATAAATAACCAAATTAAAATTAATCCAAGTTTAAATATTTAAACTTGGATTAATTTTAATTTGGTTATTTATTCTCTGAAGAAGTGACTCACACTAAGTCACGAAACGTCAGAAAATCTAATTTTCTACTCATTGGGATATTACAAATATATTATTTTTATTTATAACAATCAACCCAATGCTCAATTTATTCGAAATTATCAAATCAAACCTTGGTAATGATGCCTAGTTTCATTAATAGTTATTGTTACTGGGTTTTAACAGTACTCCTTGATGTGTTCGTGTTACAAGCGACAACCATTCACTTTGACAACTTTAAAACTCCTGAAACTAAACAAGAGTGAATTTCAACAAAGTTATGCCTTACAAATACATTATTACAGTGTATGGGAATGTACATATCCATAACGTATGCGCAAAACCCACGTTTGCATCATATATGCAAATAATAGTGCTTTTAAAAGTTATGGTACAGTGAAAGAGCTAGTTCTTTGAAAAATATTTAAAATGCATTTCATTCTTACCTTCCAACAGAGGTGGTTCGTTTTCGTAATCCTCTTCTCTTCCTTCATACATCGCAGCAGAGGAATATTGTACTTGTGAGAAGGGAAGATTGATAGGTTGGGATGGTATCGAATTTGCATTTTCATATGAAAATTGACTGAATTGCCTAGGGAACCATGAAAAACGAACAGCGTTACTGCACAGTTAAGTACTATAGATATGACAGAGAAGACAAACGAATTCACCAGATAAAGTAGATTGTATGGTTTAAGGAAATGGAAACCAGTTAACAATATAAATGAAATGTACCTATTCCCAACTAAATATGCAATTATAAAAAGCGATACAGTGAATGAAACTAATGGGTACATTCTATCCAATCATATCTTTACAGTAGATTGCAGAAGGCATCATATTTAACAGAACTCTTTATATGCTAACAGTTAGTTTGTAATAACAGAAATGCTCAAGTTCAATCGTCTCATCTCCATAATTTCATCTGGTATATCACCAAATTCCGGAATGATTACATGCCTACCAACTCCCAACTATAGTTGCATTTCTTGATCTTAAGGCAGAGTTTGATTCCTTAGATCGACAGACTTTTTGGCAGTGTCCGTTATTGAAAGCCGTACCAAAGAATTACGCTGAACTTATACAGACTCTCTACTAGGATACTACTGCTCAAATCAGAGCTTATGGAGAAGTATCATTAGAATTTTCAACCTCGAGTAGTGCTTGTCAGGGCTGTCGACTTACTCAATCTTTATTTGATTTTGTCATATACATCCATTATTGTCTGACTTTCCATGGATTAATTTCCTATCGGGATATTCACTTGTTGACTTAGAATACGCAGGTGATGTAGTCAACTAAGAAGAAAACCATAACAAAATGCAGTCTTCTGACCAACTAAAGCTAAAATACAAGGATCTATGAGATGCAAAGTGCTGCTTCAGAAGTGGCTTCGTCAGCGGCACAAATTTAGTAGGCCCGAATGACCTCTGGCAACTTGCGTTACTTGTGGCGCAGAGGAGATATCCGTCCCCCAACCAATGAACGAGTTTACTGCGCAGAAGTTTGCTTTACCCTACCTGTGTGGAACATGGGTACTCAGAATACAGGATATTTTTAGGTTACTAGTATTTGATCATACGTATCTTCTAAGTATCGTTCATGTATTATGAGACCACCGAGTAAGCGATCCCGAGTTTATTATTTTTTAAACACAAACACTGGTACAGAGGAGCACCAAAGTGTATAAACAACACAAAAATCACTGAACTTGTGTGAGGGCTGAGATCCTGTCTGTGCACTCAAACCGAAGTAGATGTTTTCTTAGGGGGTTACTTCCTAAGCCTTTGACCCAGATGTTTAATCCCCAAGCCAATGGGGCAATGTTAAGAATTGAGGTCGCATTGTAACCGGTGATCACGAATAGGTCTATACGCTATTTGTTTTCTAGTGATTCTGGAGCCCATGTGCACCATAGGTTTAGAATCAGGGTTCCCCAACTGCTCTAGGTGGGTTCGTAGTGCCTAGTACTATATCAAGCTCACATGGGCTGTTCTAGCTTCCGGACAGAACTTATTCATTCTTCTTAAGTCACACTTCGACCGTATCAATTATTCGCTTATTAACCTTGACTGTTTTTATATGAGCGTATGTATGTTGCTTACCCTATCCATCATATATCAGTAGCCTGTTTCTATTTCAGTATAAAAATTGAGTCACGCTTTATCAAAACGAGTTGGACCATTCGTCTTCTCTACCTCACCTCATCTTTTCGCTTTTCTTCACTCTCCTGCTTTTCATTCTGAATGTGTCTGGATGAACGAGTGCCTGAAATACATTTATCCAACGCAACCGATATTTGACTTCCCATTACAGCCGTCACACATATACGAAGTTAAATGGAAGGTTTGTGTACATAGCATATCAATTAAGTTTATTCAAATTAGAGTCAGATCAAAAATAAGACACCGACATGTGATGAATAGAGTAAACAATACACACGCTCATATAAAAACAGTCAAGGTTAATAAGCGAATGATTACTGTAACCAATATTTAGGGACTTTGAGTCCATTGCTCTCTATCTTCCTTAAAAACCTGACCCCTGAAATCTCTCTATACCATATTTTTTGTACCTGATCTTTACTACAACTGATCATGTAACCGATTCTACTTTTAGAATTTCGTTAGCTCCTTTAAGCTTTAAGATAACTTCACATTTATTCTGTTGAACTGAAAGCTCATCAATACGTTACAATAACTGAAGCAAGCATTTTACAAAACCTGATAACCAGAACACACTACTAACTAGCAGATAAATCCTGATATCAATAAAACAAAATTGCAGGTGACAGTACGTTCACCAACAACCGTCGAGAATAATTGAAACACCACGTGGAGAACTATCACACTTTCTAGTCAACTTAATACTACAGCGACTTCAAGTAAACTGTATTATGCTCCAAATCTAATGAAAGCAGAGCTATCTAGCGAAGCAGATGTGCAAAGAAATCTAAAACACTTGAGTTTTGACCTCTGAACTATCTCACCAGAATTTATTTATCCTTTGGTTTGCCTACTTTGTTAATGACTACATGACTTTTGAGGCAGCTGTGAAGGGCAGTGACAAAAGCGATCAATCAGAAACAAAGAAGGAAAACCAATCACTGAAGATCAAGAAAAGCGAAACGGATGAGTAAATCGATTTGAAGAGTTTTTGAACAGACAAGCATAGCTGAATCCAACTTACATCGAAGTAGCACACACAATTATCTCTAGAGATGATATCTCACCAACAATAGTAGAAACTAACAATCCGATCAGATAAATCAGAAATGGCAAACAGTAGAACAAGACAACATACCAACTGAAGTACTATAATCAGACCTTGAGGGAATTTAAATGTTCCAAGTTCCATTCCGAAAGATCTGTGAGGAAAAACAGGTACTAATAAACTGGAAAGAGGAGTACCAAATTAAGATACCGAATAAAGATCATGTGAGAATTACAAATGGATCGTACTATTGTCAGTGCCAGGCACACTTTTCAACAATGTTGCTGAAGTCAATGAAAGGTTTAGTAGATCCATAACCTTGAGACCAACAAAATGGATTTCATAAAGATCGATCATATACTGAACAAATCGCGATACTGAGGATTATTGTGGAACAATCATTTGAACAGAACTCATAGACATACATCAAATTCCTTGATTGTAAAAAAGCACTTGAAAGAGTGGGTAGAAAAAATACCGTATAATCTTCCATACTTTGGAGTACCTGAAAAGATCAACACTACTCCTAAGAGGAACCGGGTTGCAAAGTTGTGCATCGAGGCCAGCTAACAGGTGAATTAGAAGTGATGACTTTATATTTATTATTATTGATCTGAACACATAAATATTGGTACAAGGGGGCACCAGATACATACGCGCCACGCGGTGGAAGACAATGGTGCCTACGCCCAACTTCTCCCTTTTTGCCAACTGCCGGCTGGATTAAGAAAGCTTCTACAGCTCAGGAAAATCACGGAATACTGTGGGTAGCTTAGATGAAGCTATATGATTTGACCCTCCTATTCAAATAAGAAAAAGTAAAATCCTGAAGTATCACAAAGTCGACATCAACCAAATTGCACTTGATAGCGAAGCTCTGGAAGAGGTAAAAGATTTTACGTACCTGGAGTACATCATAGATAAACAAGGAGAATCTGATGTGGATATCAATGCACAGATCAGCAAAGGAAGACAGCATTCTCACAACTAAGAAATATCCGACATTAAGAAGAACAGTCAACCAAAAATAAGGTCAGAGTTATTAACACTAATATTAAAGCAGTCCTACTGTACGGAACTGAGAATTGGATTGGTCGCTACCAAAAGAGTGCAGGTATTCAAAAAGCTGTAGACGTTATACCCTGATCCACTAACCACAGACAACCAACAATAACTCAATGCGGTAGAGAATAAACTAAGCACCATCTGAGAAGGAAATTAGGAAAAGACAAATAAGGTGGACAGAGTTAACGACAGAAACTACCAAACTGAACCACAAAGTAAAACTTAACGTGGAATCCCCAATGTGAAAAACAAGGAGGCAAACCAAGGGACATACGATACCGAGAATCGGAGGCAGGCATTAAGACCGGAGTGCCACACGGTGACATCTGGAAAAGAGCGGAGCACAAACTTATTTGGAGATCCCTGGTCGGCGGTCAATACAGCACGAAGAGTAACAAGCTTAAGAGCACGAATTGCAGTAATTTTGATAGGTGCGATACTGTTGTATATGGTTCGTTCATCCATCTGTCAGATCGTTAAGCAAACATTGAGTATATACCAATAATTTCTTGACCAAAAATAATAGAAATGAACGTTTTTGACTTACATTTCGGACGGGTTGTAGTATCCCGGTTGCTGAGAACTGGGGTGGTAAATATTAGTATAACCATCGTAATTCATGATGTGCTAAAGTTTGTAGATCGAGCTTGCTTTTTGATAAGCGCTGCTACTTACCAGTTTTCTGAGGAATTTTATTTCGTCTGGGGAAGGTATAACAAAAAAACATTTAAGTAGTGATATGATGAAATTTACAAATACTTAGTTACTTACTATGAATTTAATATGACCAATCCTATTTAGCTTTTTGAGTTGTAAAGTGTGCAGAGATTATCTAGCGCACTACTTAAAAGGGACAGTGATACTTTCCGTTTGAGTAAATTTTGTAGTATTGATCGTTTAAGTACGCATCAAGACCACTGTTTTTGCTTTAATCGAATTTATTTCAGTTAAAGTAATTTCCAAGAGTATCGCTTTTTTTCTAGAGTTTAGCATCTGTACTTTTTGAGTACAGACACAATAAATAAGGCACTGGTATATTTTTCCTTGCTGAGTATATCTTTTAGTATTGTTTGCATCTAGAGTTTTTAAGGTCTTTTTGTTGTTAGGATAGGCCGGGATATTCGACGTTTAATAAGACAAAAGAAGAAATGTTAGGACGTTGCCATCAGCCTCGACACAGAAAAAACTATGGAACTCTACAGGTCGATACGAAATAAGTGTATAATTAAAATCCGAGAAGCTCAGAGAAAATACGAAATGCAGTTGGCACAATCTGCAATCAGGCAGCGTAAAAGACTATTCTCGTACATAAATTACAGAACAAGGATGCAACATTGGATTCTCAACCTAATTAAGGAACGAAGAGGGTCTGAAATGACAGAGGAAGATTAGGAAAAAGCAGAGGCTATGGTTGACTATTTTGGGGCAGTTTTCACTCAGGAACCTCTTCTAGACAAAGAACCAGACCAAAATACAGAGTCAACAAACCACCTGCTCACCGTGGACTTCTATGTACTTAAGGCTCTTAGCAGCTTAGACATGGAAAATTCAACAGGACCGGACGAACTACACTCCGAAATCCTGAGACAAATCGCAAAATATATTGCAGCTCCACTGACTGTGATATTGAATAGATTACTTGACCAAGGTGTGTTACCTATGAACTGGAAGGATGTAATCATCACTCCAATACATAAAACAGGACCAAGACAAATATCGAAATACAGACCTGTCGGCCTCATCAGTGTCGCAGTTAAAATACTAGAAAGAATAGTCAAAACGACCATAATGACATTCGTGGAAACCAATAACTTGTTAAGCATTGAACAACATGGTTTCAGAAATAGCTTATCTTGCACAAAAAACCTCCTTGTAGCAAGGGAGAAATGGGTAAATGCTCTAGACGATGTGAAATCAGTGGAAGTGGTCTACATAGACTTTAGCAAAGTACTCTACAAAGTGCCAACAAATAGGCTGTTATTTATGCTAGAAAATCTAGGCATTTCCGAGCCTCTCCTAAAATGGCTTAAGGACTTCCTGGTAGGTCGTGGACAGAAAGTAAAAGTAATATCAAAGTGCTTCACCTGGAGACCAGTACTTTGGGGGTTACCACAAGGTTCTGTCCTAGGTCCTTTATTTTTTTGTATTGTACGTAAATGATCTAAGTATAGTTGACTCACTAATGTTACTATACTCTAATGACGTAAAAATCCGGCGAGAAATATCAGGAGACGCAGATGCATGAGCACTTCAGATGGACTTAAATATTGAGACTAGCTGATCTAAAGAGTAGGTGATGCCTGTCAACGTGGCAAAGTGTGCCTACATGCACTTTGGGGATACAAAGGTAAATAGGTAAAGCATACGAGAAGTGTCTGTACTCGTGGCCCGGTCTCACAAGGATCTTGGGGTGACAGTGAGTTATGATATTAGGACCACGGCCCACTAACAGGAAGTTGCAGCTAAGGGGTTTAGAACCCTATGGGCTTTAAGACGGATATTCACCAAATTAGATAATACCATGTTTACTGCAGTATACATAACCTCAGTGAGAACTAGGATTGAAAACTGCATTTAGGCTACAAGCTCCTGTTCAAGAGTTGACTCGGGTATCCTGGAAAAGTACAGAGGGCAGCTACTCGTGCAATTCCAGAACCCCGGGGTTTACCATACAAAGAGTGGCTTGAAAAGCTAAACCTCTTCACACTTTACTATTGCAGATAAAGAGGTGATCTGATTTCGATGTATAGAATACTAGGAAATGACTTTGAACCAGATAAACCCTCTTTTTTACTTCTCACTAGATCGGAACATCTCATAAGGCATAGCAGGCGAGTAGAAAAGCCAAGGATGAACAAAATACCCGTGGCATATAGGTGTTCACACTGAATCATCAATTCTTGGGACCTGTTACCCACAGAAGTGGTGTTCGCACCTTCGATTGACTCATTCAAGAGAAAGCTAGACACTCTCAGAAGCTTACTAGAAAAGGAATAACATAGGTCGTAAGCTGATTAATTCCCAGTCCCAAAACAATAAAAATAGTACATGGATCATGGTGGAAAACAAGCAGCTCGAATGACTTTCTATATTTTCAGTGCAACACGGATCAAGTAAGTATTGATGTGCTCCGATAAATGAGGATTTAGTAAACCAGACACTAACATTTATTATTTCTAACACAGTTAACTGTGTTAGGAAAATTCTGCTGCTTCTTAACTCGACAAAATAAATAGACCGGAAAAAACACATGTTTCTATTAAGAAGTACAGTGTTAGTTATTGAGTCGATTCTAATTGAATACAAAAGGTCTAGAAGTATGAATACGAACTTACCTTGAAACCAATACGTGACAACAGCTGTTACCAATACCGCGCAAACCTCAAGGTCTAGACGGTTCAAATAGATATGGATGGAATAGAGGAAGCTTTCGCTTAACGGGCTTCCGTATCTAGTCCACTGGTTCATTGGTGCTTTCAGTTATGGACTTAGGTATATTTATCGATAAAAGGAGAAGAACGTTAGTAAATTACAGCGAGATACTATCCATCGTCCTTAAAAATATATGTCAAGTTTCCTCATAGAGAACTCTTGGGAATTTTTTTGAACCAGCTCATCCGGGAGCGAATTCCATGATTTAATCACTCTTAATGAATAAAAATTGTGACTACAGTCCATTCTTCTGTAGCGGTAAATAAATCCCCCAAATCAATAGTTCTGTAGGTTTTCAACATTTGGTGCTGACTGCATTACTTTTAATGGACTCACCTAGCTGAAGACGCTTTGTTACTCAGCCGCATCAGATCACTAGTGGGTACGTCGTGCTACCCATCCCTTTCAACTACTAGCCATCTTAAACATACCTATAGCGTTCTAAATATATCTTCTAACGCCTTCACTCCTGACTCATGATTTGACTGAGGTGGCATACTTCGATTATAAAGGCGTTACTAGTTAAGACGTCTTTAGTGGTAAGCCCGATGTGATCTGGTATACCGATTCGTAAACTGTGAGTGTGTCTCTTGTTGGAAGATTATATATCATTTTTAGCCTACATTTTTTCACACTGTGGTAGTTTTCATGTCCTCCTCCTTGGTCACCGGACCTTTGTTGAGGGCTCGTTCAGACGACTTTTCCTGTCTAAGCTTCCTCAACAGGTGCAGACGATGCTTGTCTTATTTCAAAACAACGCATAAGACGAGCTGGCCGCATCTGCCAACTGAATTCACCAGAACCTCTAATGTCGAGGTCTATTCAGTCACAAACCTATATCATACTCTGACATGTTACCTTAACATTCGTCATGACTGTAGACAATCCGAAACTCCTTGAAAAAATCTCGTCACGAAAACGATGTCTCCGCATTATGAGAGACAGATAAATGTGATTGATACTGGTATCTAGAAACTGCAGAAAACCCTTCAACTTCCCGAGGTTCAAACCGACAGGCACGAAAAAATGATCGGCCGGAGCGTGTTGACGACAATCGCAGCCGGTGAACTTAGCCGTCTATTATTTATCACTGGTGTGGTGACAAAAAGTCACTACCGTGTCGTCCCTGGCTCAAAGTCAGCGTTCTTCTAGCAAATTCTAACGACCGACAGCATGAAGCGGTCTCCAACTTACAGGCGGCAACCGAGAAACGGATCACCACACTTGGTAAGCGGCACCTGTATCTTAACGTGAGTTTACTAAAACTCATTCGCTGGATTTTGGTTGTTGTGGACGTTTCTATGCCAATCATTGATATGGACCTGCCACAACACCTTGATCTACTTGCTGACAAGCGCAGATGGTGGTAAATAGACGAAAATACTAATTTATTTGTTTGGTTGACCTTTTCCAGTTGTAGATTATCCCCAGATATTTTTAACTACAGAGTCGAAGCATACTGTAAACGGATACTCGATAAGTGCCCCAAGCTATATCAAACGCGACTAAAATTGCCATGTGCAACCAACAACGTCGCACATCACATCTCGACTGCGCGATCACATGTATTCTCGAAATGGTTTTGACTAATTTCCGAAAGGCTGAGGTTGGTCAAAAACGAATTCGACTTCATGAGAGATTTAAGAATTGTTCGACTATCAAACATCCCATGGACATCGCCCTTTCACATTGTCACTAAAAAGGACAAGAATGGTTGACGTCCAACTGGTGACTATCGGGGACTGGATGAGTAAACCATTCCCGACCGTTAGCCTTTACCTCACATTCGAAATTTCACAACTACCTTGAAAGATACAACTGTTTATTGAAAATCGACTTGATTTAAAAGTACGACCGAATTCCCATGGCTGATGACGGTATTCATAAAAACAGACTGATCGATGAAGTCTTTTTAGAGGTTTCATATGTAGGTAGCTACCTAATTGCGAATTCATAGAGGAAATTTAGTCACCATCTAGACATCGTTTTAGAACAACTGCAAAAACGCGATATTATTGTAAACATTTAGAAATGTCAAATTGGCACCAACGGCATAGATTATCACAAACTTTGATGATGCTCCGACCTCCGGAAAGCAAAGTGGTGTGCATTATAGATTAGCCATAACCACCTACAGC